CTCTTATTACTTTTAAAAATAATAATATATTTTTCTTTATCACAGTAACATTTAAAATACAAATTACTACAATAAACACATTTTTTTGCTGAACCGGCTTAATAATCTGACCCATTTATACAAAAACTAAGAATCTTGGAAAAATATTATTCTTTCAGTAAATTTATTCTTGGATCAGTGATGTTTTACTTCCCTGTTTTCATTTTGGGTAAACATTTGGTCTTATCTGTCCAAACAACATTGTTCTAACTTCTACAAGCCTAGAGATGTCTTCAGATGAAATAGACAAACTGAAGTTTTAATGCTAAATCTACCAGTGCTAAATAAGCTAATATTACTATTTAGCTGGAATGGTGCTACATTTTGCAAATGTTCTTTTAAGGGTAAAGCTTTTTTTGCGGCTTTTTTCTTCTTCATCCATATTTTCAGTTGCAGGCTGAGTCATTTCTACCTTCTCCTCTCTGTCATGTGGATGGAAGACCTCCAGTGATGAGAGAATGTGTAGCGCTGAGCTAATACATATGTATGGTGATAGCATCGGAGCTAAAAATGATAAGTTTTATGAACAGCTTAAACTTTTACTCAACCACTGTGACAAAACTAAAGAAACAATCCTAATGGCTGATTTTAATGTTAATTGGAATATAAAGATGGAGCGAACAACTCTTAAATAACAGGCTATTTTAATTTAACACAAATAATTAAAAATCCAACCAGAATAACAAACCACTGTGAAACACTAATAGATCTGCTGTTTTCAAATCATACTGAGAGGATTATTAMAACATACAATCTCATCACAGGGCTTTCTGATCAGAGTATTGTACTTTTTGTGATGATTTGTGCGTGATGTGTTGCTTTGTTGTTGTGTGCTGTGCCTCCCCCTGGTGTCCATGTTCTATGTTTCCATACCCATCGTGTTCCTCAGTCTCTTCTGGTTCTTTCTAGTCAGTTCATTCACACTTATCCTCACTTATAATCACCCAGCTGCTTCCAACTTCCAYTTAGCCATGTTAGTATTTAACCAGCTTCTCTTCACCACTTCAGTGTCCGATCTTCTGAAAATATTGAGACAAACTTACAGAATTTTAACTCAAAAAAAAAAAATCAAAGAAATTGAACAATTTTTTAAAGCAAAGAGTATAAAAAAGGGAAACCATCTACCTTGGATGGGTAAGGACTGCAAAAAAAAATCACAGGAAAAAGAGACACATCTTAAAGCATTTTTTTTTTAATCTGGTCTTACCTACCATTGACAGGCAAAGATTTACCTCCATGAGAAATAAAACAACTCATGCCCTATGTAAAGCTAAGGCCAATTTTTTTTCTGGACATCATTAAAAGTGCTAATAGAAATGGCAAAATATTAATAAACTGACTGGAAAGCAAAAATAAAATGGTTAACGATAAAATGGAAATAAAAGTTAATGAGCTGCTAAATGATCCAAAAGAATTAGCAAATGAATTGAACAATTTCTTTATTACCTCTGTCAATGAAATAACATAAATATTTAGTCATTCTGAAATAGCTGGCAAATGTATAGATCCTGAATATGCAGTTTTCAGATTAGAACAAGTATCTGAGATGGAAGTGGCCAACATTATAACCTATAATAACCTATAATAACCCTAAAACACAGGCTTTTTGACAACCTAAACAGCTTGTACACAAATATACTTATTTATACTTTTTTGTGTGTTTTTGTAATAGTTATGGGGAAAATATTACATTAGCAATTATTTTATTACCCTTTAAATTGATTTCTGCAGATTATACAAGGTGCTTCATGACCCATAATTGGGTCCCAAGCCCAACTTTGGGAACCAAAGTGCAGAGGTTCCCAAACTTTTCAGCTTTTGACCCACAAAATAACAGTAGCAGAGACCTGTGACCCCTTCTATTTTTGGATGATAAACATTTGTATCAGGTCAACTAAACATGGGCATAGTAACAATATTTTTATACTACATTTATCCGTTTTAAATACACTAACCTCACTCCTTTGTAACAACTAAGACAAAAATGTAATTAATTCAGAAAATCTTTTCAGGACCCCACCTTGATGTTTCGGGACCCCACTTTGGGTCCTGACCCCAACTTTGGGAAACAGTGCTGTAGACCATCAAGCACTTCTGTCTAAACTGACTCACTTTAACTTAGCAGAAGATGCCGTGAAATGGTTTGAATCTCACTTATCAAACAGAAAACAACCGTGAGTGTTGGTGGCACTGTATCGTCCTCCCTTGAATGTCCTGCAGGGGTCCCACAAGGTTCTATTTTGGGACCAGTATTGTTTTCTTTATATATGTAGTAAGTGACCTTCCAAATGTTAGCTAAAATGTCGATTTTCAAATGTATGCTGATGATGCCTTATTTTTACACCTGTTAAGAGCACACAGGAGGCATCATCTATCCTTACATCAGCTCTGGAGAAAATACAGCATTGGTTCTTTTAAATCCTGTCTGTTATTGAACAAAAACAGAAAACTGTTTTTGTGATGTTCACCCACAAAACTGCAGAAGTCCAGTGTGTTCCTTGACCTTGTAGAGGAATTCAAGTACCTCTGGGTCCACCCTGGACCTAACGCATTTAAAAAACACATCAAACTCACTGCAAACACAATCARCTTTAAGCAAAKCAGATCATCTACGACAATCAGTTCTGCTAAAACGTTTCTCCGCTCAATGATATTTTCACACAGACCACTGCATCACAACCTGCTCACTCACCGGAGACACAACTTTAAAACAAATAGAAACTTTTTTCAAAAAAAATCTTTAAAAATCTTTGCTCAAAAGCCTCTGTCATTCCATCAGTGTAACATTTTAGAAAAATATAATGTGCTCAATTTGGAAAGTTTTAACAGTAATAGCTTAACTTATAAAGTTCTTCACGGATTAGCTCCACCTCCACTCTCTACCTAATAAATAAATAAAATCTCAGTACCATTATTTAAATTGATACTTCCGCTAATACTAGTCCTACTACTTGTGAATTATTATTTTCTATTGACATGTTACCACTTGGTCAGGTTCTTCATAAATTTAACATCTTTTTCCATTTCTATGCAGACGATTCCCAGATTTATTTGGCTATCCCATCTAACCGCAATAAACTCACTTTTTCTCTTTCAGACATCAAAACCTGGATGTCTGATAATTATCTTTTAGTAAATAATGATAAAACAGAGGTGATAGTGTGTGGGCCAGAGACCAAACTCAGTCTCTTTCTAGTATTGGCTTTAACTGCTCTCATGAAGCCAGAAACGACTGGTGACAGAAGGAGAGGGGACTTTTATGGTCAGGGCTCCCAGTTTGTCGAATGCATGTTAGACAGACGACCTCATTGTTCTCTTTTAGATCGTTTTTACTTACATAATTAGGTTTTTAATATTTGATAGTGGTTTCTTTTTTGTTTTATTGCAATTGATTTACCATACCATACCATACCGTACCATACCATACCATACCATACCATACCATACCATACCATACCATACCATACCATACCATACCAACTTTATTTATAAAGCACTTTAAAACAACCACAGCTGATACAAAGTGCTGTACATTAAAACACAACATAATAAAAAAGTGATTAAAACGGTTTAAAAACAAAAACAAACAATTTAAAACTAGATCCCGCTGGTGTTGAAAGCCAAGTAAAATGGATGGGTTTTAAGATGAGATTTAAAAGTATTTGGTATATTTTTTTCGTGTTGTCTTTGACGTTTAAATAGTTTTTTAATGTAAAGCACTTTGTAACATTTGTTTAGAAAGGTGCTATACAAATAAAGTTATTATTATTATTATTATTATTATTATTATTATTATTGTTGTTGTTGTGTTGTTGTTACTACTACTGCTAAAGCTAATTCCACTACTGCCATCAGTGCTAATGCTCTTAGCTTGTGTTTCACTACATGTAACTATTAGGGTTTTGATATTAGCATTTTTTTTTAGTTTTTAGCAAAAATTTTAGCTTTTAGTTAGCATATAACTTCTATTAGTTAACATTTTGCTGTAMTTTTTGCAATCATTTTTAAGATGAATTTTGAGTTTTTATTTATTATTTTTTTGCTGCTTTTGCACCAAACGTGTAGAAAGTTTTATTTCTTTAGTTACCAGCTCATGTCTGCTCCGGTTAGTTGAGTCCTTTAGAATATTCCCCCGTCACTTGATTAATTATCACTTTTGTTATGTGACATGTGAAATTAATTAATCATGTTTCATCCTTGCATGTATTATTAATCACCGGTGATGCCTTCAGGGAGGTGCAGAGACTAAAAAGTTGGTGACCTGAAACTTTGTCTCGKGGTAAACGGGACGACAGTTTTCCGTTCTGACAGAGTTCTTGTCTCTGGTGTGAGTCTGAGGCGGGTCAGTCCCACGGTGGCTGACGAAGGCGATGATGAGGAAAGTGACGTTCAGGAGTGTGTGCTGCAGAAATATTGATTGTGGAGATAGGACATGCATGAAACCTGGTCTGYCCACCCCCTCAGTGTAAAATCAAAATGATTTGCTGATGTCACGAGTGGTTTGAGCAGAGAGCCTATAACTGTTGGAGTCGGCTTGTGTGAAAGACCCACAAGTCCTGGACTGATCCAGAGACGGATCCGACAAACAGCATAAAGTGAGTACCTTATTTATTCTTTTTCTGTAAATATGAAGCAAAAATACWATTTTGAGTTTCTTTTAAGAAAAAAGCTCAATTTGATGAAGCTTTTCGGCATTGTTTTTTACAGAAATGGACCTAAAATACAAACAAATACACATGTGAAGTTGTCTTTTTCTACAACATAAGAGACYGATTCAGTCAATTCTGACAGACTTTTCAGAAAATTATTAAAGCTTTTGTGATTTTTYCTTTAAATAAACAATTGGAAAAGTGCAGATATTTTTGTGCTTTATTGAAATAGTGTGTTTTCTTAAAAAATGCAATTAATGAGCTGAAATTAAGAAAACTAATCTTATAATACATCTTATTATTTTTGGGTAAACACAATTGGGTAAACATTTTAAG